CTTTTCTGAACCCTTTCAAGTTTCACAACATCCTTCCTGTAGCAGGGAGACCAGAATTGCACACAGTATTCCAAAAGTGGCCCTAACCAATGTCCTGTACAGCCACAACATGACCCTCCCAACTCCTATACTCAATGCACTGACCAGCAAAGGCGAGCGTACCAAACACCTTCTTCACCGCCCTGTCTACCTGCGACTCCACTTTCAAGGAAATATGAACCTGCCCCCCAAGGTCTCTTTGTTCAGTAACACTCCCCAGGACCTTACCATTAAGTGTATAAGTCCTGCCCTGATGTGCCTTTCCAAAATGCAGCACCTCGCATTTATCTAAATTAAACTCCATCTGACGCTCCTCGGCCCATTGGTCCATCTGGTCGAGATCCTGTTGTACTCTGAGGTAACCTTCCTCACCGTCCACTACAACCTCCAATATTGGTGTCATCTGCAAACTTACTGACCATAACCTCCTATGTTCACATCCAAATCATTTATATAAATGACAAAAAGCAGTGGACCCAGGACCGATCCCTGTGGCACACCGCTGGTCACAGGCCTCCAGTCTGAAACACAACCGTCCACCCCCACCCTCTGTCTCCTGCTTTTAAACCAATTTTGCATCTAATTGGCAAGTTCACCCTGAGTCCCAAATGATGTAACTTAGTAAAATCTCAGTAAATCTCCTCTGAACCACCTGTACTGCCTTTCTTAAATAAGGAGACCACATACAGTATTTGACACGTGGCCTCGCTAATACTCCATGTTGGGAGCGTGTAGCTTTGACAAAGGGACAGACATCCAATCAGTTCAGGCTTTGTACCTCTGCATTTGCAACATAGTCAAATTAAAACCTGCAAAGACCATCAAAATTACCTCCAGTGGCTCCTAACCAGCTGACAACCTGCAACATTGATTTACGATGCGGGATTCAAAGTTGAAATGAAAGTGTAGTGATTGGAGTGAGGTCAGCCAGGTGGAACTCACAGAATCTGAGTTCCCTGATTGAGGCTGTTAACCTGGTCCAATCAGGGAGCCCTGGCTGACAGGTAGCAACAGGAGTCTCTGAGTTTTTGAGAGAGCTGGCTCTGAGGGAGCTGGGTCAGTGTGATGTACTGTGCATGCATAAATAAAGGGTGACTTGGTGATGGTATACCGGCCTCTGTGCAGTTATTTCTGTGGTGATGAGAGAAAAACACACTCCTGAAGAAATTTGCTTACAATCGTCACCTTGGAGTTGTGGTTAAGCGTTTCTGGCATATAAATATATATATATTTGGGAAGCTCGACCTGTTTGATCTTGCTGTCAGAGATTAGGCTTGTGTGTGGGAAGTATGTGGGAAGAATGCATTATTTTTTTTCTGGACAAACGACACTGGGGCAGACGAAAAGCAACGAGTAATTCTCCTGGCAGCTTGTGGACCCGCAGCTTTTTCAGTTATTAGGAGCCTGACTTCCCCAGAGGCAGAAGATACTAAAACCTTTCAGAATTGATGGATTTAGTTAAGGAATATAACGAGCCCAAACCTCCTCTAATTCTGAGATGCTATTGGTTTTACTCGGAAGTCCGAGAACCAGGGGAATACGTGTTGGGAATTTTGACAAGGTTAAGGTGAGTGGCAGAGACCCTTAATGAGATGCTGAGAGACCATTTGATCTGTGGGGTTAATGATGTAACCATGCAAAAGCACCTGCTAGCAGAATCCCAACTGGACTTCAAACAGGCTCAACAACTGGCTTTGTTGTTAGAAAATGCAGCAAGTGGGGAATATGAGTTACAGGGTATTCGATGGAAGTGAACACCCTCGCCAGACCAACTGAGCTTAGGGAACACCACTCGAGTGAAGGCAATTGCACAGCCTCACTCAGGACATATCCTTCACAGAGGAAATCTAGATCAGTCCACAGCAAAACCCCAAAACAAAACCAAGCCTCGGCCAAATGGTTAAAACTTTCTTCAGGATCCGGGCCAGCAAGTCATTGTAGTTGCTGCTGGAATGTGGATCGTGACAGTAACAGAGTCCCACTAGGCCTGAATTGTGTAAGAGAACTCATAGCCAGTATCCAGGAGAGTGCACACCCTGGAAATCCTACCTATATCTACCTTGGAGCAGGTACATTGCTTAGCAACATCCAAATCAGAACCAATCAAAATGAACATCTGGTTAAATGGTCACCAGGTTCTCATGGAGGTTGATACTGACTGGGCTGTGTCAGTGATCGCAGAACCAGTCTGTAACAAAATTCACTCCGGGCTCCAAACCTTAAGTTCGTGTGAGATCTTGGCCAGACTGAGAACCTACAAAGGGGAACCTTTACAGGTTAAGGGTACAACTTCGGTTCATGTCTCATATGAGAAGCAGTTGGTTCAGTTCCCACTGATTGTAGTAAAAGGATCGGGCCCGAGCCTGATGGGGCAAAATTGGTTGAGAAAGATTCACCTTGATTGGCACAACATTTTCCGATGAGAAAGTGGCTGCCCAAGTGAAATCTTCATGAAATACCTGGAAATTTTTCAGGAAGGTCTAGGGACTATTGGCCGAGCCAAGGCTGTCTTGCATGTAGACCAGGAAGTAATTCCACGATTCTGCAAGGACCTCCCAGTGCCATTTGGTTTTGGGAAAAAAATCAGGGATGGAAATCAGGAAGCTGGAAGCGAGGGAGCCATCAAACCAGTGTGGAATGGGCAGTACTGGTCATATTGATTGTGAAGCCAGTCTGCCTTTGTGGGGATTTTAAACAAACAGTAAACTGCTTTTTGCAGCTGGATATATAGTGTCACAAAGTTGGGTACAGTATTTGTGGATTGGGAGGCCGGAAGTTAGAATTTGGTGTTTGTAAAAGGGTACGCTGGGGGGGGGGGGGGGGGGATGAAAGCATTGCGTGGTCCCTTTAAAAGTTGATGTGCATTTTCTGTGCTGGGTGGTTTAGAGTGGTCGTCTGTGAGCAGCAGCTTGAAAGTTTGCGAGTGCACAGAGAGCACCCAAAGTGAAACATTTATATCAAAAGGCTGTACAGTTAACAGGCTGAGCAGCAGTTTTTACCAAGACAACAGGTTTTTGAATTTAGCCAATCTATTTGAAACATATCAAAAACCAATTAAATTTAAATCTGATGGTTTTGACAACATAGGACCAATCCTATGGTAAGGAATTGATATGTCATCAAGG